GGCTCCAGTGTGATGTCCTGTGTCTCCTGCTTCTTCCTGTCATTTGGGAACAGCGAGTCAGCCATGATCGCTCTGCTCTGCCTTTTTGGGGGGGTCAGCATTGCATCCTGGAACGCGCTGGACGTGTTGACTGTTGAACTCTACCCCTCGGACAAGAGGTAGTTGGAGTGTCGTGGGGGCAGGGCCACCGGTTTCGGGCCTCTGTAAGGAAGCGGGCTGAATGGGAGATCATCTTTAGGGTTAGAAGGACAACACATTCCCATTGAGTTTCTCCTGTAGGAGCTGGTAACTTTTGTATTCACTCCTTGAAGTCTTAACTATTAACCTAATTTTTTGGTCTTCTTTTCCCCTTGCCCCCCAATCTGTATTCCCTGGTGTACATCCCTCCCCTCTCTCATCTTTCCGTCCTTCCTCTCCTTCTCGGACACTGCCTGCCCTCTCTCCTTCACTTTCCCACCTACTCACCAATCCCCCACAAACCCTCCTGTGCCTCTTCCTTGTCTCCCCTTCGTACTGCACTGGGGGCTCCTGAGCAGGACCACAGCCTTCGGCTTCCTGAATGCCCTCTGTAAGTTGGCGGCCGTGCTGGGGATCAGCATCTTCACATCCTTTGTGGGAATCACCAAGGCTGCCCCCATCCTGTTTGCCTCAGCTGCGCTTGCCCTCGGGAGTTCTCTGGCCCTGAAGTTGCCGGAGACCCGGGGGCAGGTGCTGCAGTGAGCTCCGCAGGGCTTTTGAGGGCGGCAGGCACACTGTGAGACCAACGGCTCCTTCTCCCTCCCTGCCCTGCCACCCTGGCCTGAGAAGCCTCAGTCCCCACTGCCCTGTGTTCCGTGTCTTAGCCATGTGTGTGTGCGTGCGCGTGTGCATGTGTGTGACCCGTGGGCAGGAACTATAGGGAAGGCTCTCGCGTCCCAGTTTCGGGATACAGCTCAACTCCCCACCTCCTACCCCCGTTGACTCTGCACAAGAGAAGGCTTGGCCCCACCCTTCTCCCCCACTGTTAGTGAGGGGCCCTAGCTCTTCCTGGCTCTAGGGGGTCCAGAACAGGCCTCCTGCCCTCCCCTGCATCCCCTCTGCCCAGGCCCTGGTGAAACCGTGGGCGTGTGGTTATGCTGGGGGCTGGGGCTCGGTGTAGTCTATGGACCAAAAGAACTTCTTAGAGTTGGAAGGGCCTCAGGTGCCCTCTCACGCCTGCTGGATGCTGGGGAAGTAGCAATAAACCTCAGCCCCCTGGCCTCCACACCCCCCTCAATTTGGGCTACAAGTAAGAAGCCTGAGTTTTATGAAATTAACTTTCTGATTCTTATTTATTTATAGATTAAGTTCTGAGGCAGCTCAGCAGGACGGTGTGTGTGAATGCATGTGTAACACTTTGTGTGTGTGTATGTGCCGTGGGGCGGGGTGTCACTATATTGTCCTAAGATACGAGCCAAGGCTAATCTCCGTGGACACACACACTACCCTGCCTCCCGTGGTCCCTCCCCTAATCTTGTTTCTGTGCCAGGCCTGGGAGGGGGGAGCCCTGGGCCAGGCTAGGATGAGTCCCACAGCCTAGACAGATCTGAGGGCCCCTGACAAGGTCCATCTCCTCCCCTCTTCTCAAGAAGCACAGGCCTCTGGAGTGAGAGGCTCCGCCCACTATAGCACAGACAGGGATGGCACAGCCGCCCTCCCACCCCCAACCTGTCCCCTCACAGGCAGGGTAGCAGGGGAGGGAAAGAAACCAGGCATATGGTCAAACCAGCAGATCAAAAAGCACAAGGAGCTGGGGCAGGGGCAGGAAGCAGGGGCCCTCGAGCAACTCCTCTGGAGTGGGAAGAGGTTGGGCAATAAGCCAGGGACCCCTAATGTGGGACCAGAAGCCTCAGTTTCCCCATCTCACCTTTCTACATGATAGCCCCTGTAGGTTAAGCTGCCCTTGCCTCACCCCACTGTGTGGCTGCTTTCTTTGGTGCCCTCCTGCCCCCCCCCCCACTGTAGCTGTGATGTGTTGTAGTTTTTAGCTGTTTGTAAAATGTTAAAAAAAAAAAAAGTAAAAAGGAAAAAAAAAGAAAACACAAACAAAAAAAGAAAATCCAAATTCACCCTCGTCATGTTGTGTCTGGTGCGCCCACCCTATGGTCACTCCCCCCATTTTGTAACACTGAACCAGGTGGGGACTGTCGAACTCTGGTGTCTGTGCTCAAAGGACCGCCTTCTCCAGTGCCCAGTGTACGGGTGTGTACCCCCTTTCCTCGCCCTTCATTTGCTGGACGCAGCCTTCTCCCCTGTGCCCCCTGGAGGGACCCATCCATCTCTCCTGCTCTCCTGGGGAACCCCCCTAAACCCAACTCTGTTGATGTGAATAATGAAAATATTGATGAAAAAGAAAAAGGAAATAAATCCTTAAAATCCCAAATGCCTACGTCTGCTTCTTTGCTGCTCCAGCTGCATTCAACTCTGTTCTGCCTGTGGGAGGGGAAGGTGGTGAGATGGAAATACTATTCGTCTCTCCCTAAACTGAGGGCCAGAATGATACGCCGCGCCACATTTATTTTCTCCCTTGGCCTATCCTGACCTTTTCACTTCTGGAGATGGGAGGGTCCTCTCAGTCTCCCAGATTTGAAAACTTGGGGTAATATCCTACAACTCTGTAGCAAAAAAACTAGTAACTGGTTTAAAAAAGGGGCTAAAGTCTTGAATAAACATTTCTCCAAAGACATACAAATAGTTAACAGGGATATATGAACAGCACTAACCATCAAAGAAATGCAAATCAAACCCACAATGAGACATCATTTCACACCTGTCGGGATGGCTATTACCGAAAACCAACCCACCCCCCAAACTCAAACAAAACAAAAGAACTAAATGGTGTTGGTGAAGATGTGGAGAAATTGGAACACTTGCATACTGGTGGGAATACAAAATGGCACAGCTGCTATGTCAAAGAGTATGGAGGTTCCTCAGAAAATTAAAAATATAACTACCATATGATCCAACAATCTCACTTGTGGATATTTATCAAAAGAACTGAAATGAGGATCTTGGCAATATCAGCACTCCCATGCAGCACTATTCACAATAGCTAAGATGTGGAAACAACTTAAATGTCCATCCACAGATGAGCTGATAATGAAAATGTGGTCTATACATTCAATGGAATGCTATTCAGCTTCTAGAAAATAAGGAAATTATGCAGTATGTGATGACATGGATGAACCATGAGGACATTAAGTCAAATAAGCCAGTTACTGAAACACAAAGACCAAATGATCCCATTAGTTATCTAAAATAGTCAAATTCATAGAATCAAAGAGTAGAATAATGGTTGCCAGGGGTAGGGGAGGGAAGGAAATGGGGAGTTACTAATCAAACAGCATAGTTTCACAGCAAGATGAATAAGCCCTAGAGATGTGTATGACCCTGTACCTATAGTCAATGATGCATTGTACCCTTAAAAATTTAAGAGAGTAGACCTCAGGTTAAGTGTTACTACCACAATAAAACAGAACTTAAAAAATAAAATTTAAGGCCCGCCTGGGTGGCTCAGTCAGTTAAGTGCCTTTGGCTCAGGTCATGATCTTGGGGGTCCTAAGATTGAGCCCCCATGCTGCTGCCAGGCTCCCTGCTCAGCGGGGAGTCTGCTTGTCCCTCTTCCTCTGCCCCCTTCCCACTTGTGCGCATGCGCGCTCTCTCTCAAATAAAATTTTCAAAACAAACAAAAACTTGGGAGTGTTTCTTGAGAATAGAGCCAGCTTTCCTCCAAATCCTCTTGTGTCTTTTAAAGATATGGATTCTAGATTCCATTCTGTGGAATCAGAAGTTTTCTTTGGAAGAGGGGGCACCTAGAATCCACATTTGAAGTAAGTTCCCATAGGAATTCTTATCTGTGAGGAAATCTGAAAACCGCGGCCTGGGGATTACCTGGGACTCCCCCTCATTCACGTTTCTGTTCTAATCAAGCCATTTTCTGACTTTTCAAGGTAGCTCTCAAAACTCCTTCCTTTCCATTCCTACAGCTGGCCTTGACTGAGGTCAGGGTCCCACCTTCCCTTTTGATCTCTGTGCCTCCCATCTCGTATGTCAACTCACTTACACATCACTGCCAGATCACTCTGCCCCCAAATGCTCTTTGGTATGCCCTTCCTCAAAACTCAGTGACTTCCTACTGTCCAACCAGGTGTAGTCTAAACTGTAGCTCAAAATGATCAAGATATATGTTCATCTATTTCTTTAGTATCTAGAGTCTATTGCCACATTAAGGTCATCAACGTTGTGTATCTAGACATCACTTGAGCTCCCTTCAGAAATAGGACTTTAGAAGAAAAAGGGCTATATAAAGTTTTCTCCTTCTATACTCATTTTCCATGTTATCATCTTTTCACTGCCTTACTTACTGTGTTTTGGTTTCTATTTGTTTTGTTAAGGATTTTTCTGAGAAACAAAGGCAAATCCTTTTGGAAATGGACAGGCTAATAGCCAAATATTCCCCCAGTATGAAATTCAAAAGTATTTGTAACTCCTGTCTTGTCCAATCAGTCACTGTCTAGTCCAGCGTCTATGCCTTTGCTGAGCTCTTCCCCCTACCCGTAACATCTTTCCTCTCCTTTCTGGTTTAAGCCTGTGCTTTCCTTTCAAGATCCAATTAGGTCACTCCCCCCAGTGAAGCCCTTCACGACTACCCTAGGCTACAGGTATCTTTCTTCTCCTAAGAACATCTGTAGCACTGATTCAACAGGCCATTAATAACACAAAGCAGTGTCTCTCCTATAATTTATCTTTTAAGGTACAGGATTATTTCCAACTCACCAGGTCTGGTGGTTCCTTAGTCACAATTTAACACGAAATGCCTGGGCAGCTTTTCCTAAATAGTAAAGGGCAAGGGCAGTGGTGAGTGATTCTACTCTTTCCTTGGGTAAGCTTGGATCTGAAATGAGTTGCTAACTCCAGAGAATATGTATGTGCTGGCTGAATGGGACCCAAGGGTCCTTATCCCTTACAAATACCAGACTGTATTGAAGGGAAGAAAGCCCGTAGTTTATTCCCAAACCCATTAGAATCTTGGTCTTCCCTCTCTTGGGGCTCAGGGGGTTCCCCGAGTTTTCTTGCTCCCACCCAGGCAAGGGGGGCTCATGTCCAGTTGAGGGTTTTCCTTCCACTGGGCGGGGGTCCGTGCCTGTATGGCCAGTGCGTGGACCGGCCCAGCCAGCTCCTCAGACAGGGCAGCGTGGACCAGCCGGTGCCGTTGTAAGGCGCTCAGTCCCTCAAAGCGAGAGCTCACCACCGCCACGCGGAAATGCGTCTCGCTGCCTGGTGGGACTGCATGGCCGCCGCTCTCGTTGCGCAGCTCCAGTACCTCGGGGTTGAGGGCCTGCTCCAACTTCATGCGAATGGCTGCCTCGACGGGACCGATGGTCCCCAATCCTGCGCTGCTCCGGGACAGACACACGCGACCGGCCATGGAGAACAGGGGCCCGACCAGGTGCCCACTCAGCATCGGCTACCGCAGAGACAAGGCCCGAGCAGAGGGTCAGGGCCTCCCACCTGGTGAGAGCCTAGTCTCACCAGCCTCCCACCCCCAGCTACAACCACACTCCGCTCCTGCAGGGCGCCCGCCTCGACTCCAGGCATCAACCCTTTCCTCTGCGTGACGTGGGGGAATTTGGCCTCCCGCCGAGGGCAGCGGAGAGCCGACGAGGGGCTGGAAAGGGCCCGCGAGAGGCACATTTAGCAGGGAGTGGGCCGGAGGTTGCAAAGGCAGTGTATGCACAACTCCGGGTTTATGGTTGAGCCAGTGTCCCCTTTAAACCCAGGCTGGGCCCTTTCTACCTTCCGCTCAGCCTTGGCTGCCGCACTTGGGGATCAGGGACCCGACTCCTGAAGGTCTCGGACAAACGCGGTCGTCGCGTCCTGAGGCACGCTGGGAAATGGAGTCCTGGCTACGCGATAGTAGAATGGGCAGGCGTCACGTGATGCCCCGAGGGCTCACGGGAACTGTAGTTGTTTTTTTTGGGGGGTTGACTGGCGCTTTTAGGTCGTGAAGCAGAGGGATGCAGAAAATCCAGGAATTCCCGCTCATTTGGGACTGCTGTTACTTGATACATTTTATTGTCATCTAGCTGAACTCCTTTATTTTACATACAAGAAAATGGAAGCTCATTCCATTTACTGCACACATAATTACTGCGCGCAGACCAGTCCTGGAGACTGGGAAATAAAGCAGGCCCGGTCCTCGAGAAGTTTACAGTTACAGAACACTGAAGATGAACAAGTAAGCAGGCAATTACAATACCATGTGCTAAGTGCTATGATGGGACGGAGAATAGGCTGCCAAGGAATCATGTCACCCAGACCTGGGGGCGCAGAGAAACTTTGGAGAGGAGATTTTAGGGGAATAGTTTAGAAGAGACAGCCCGAAAGCCCCTCTCTCAGTCCCTCATAGTCGGGCTGTGGTAGTTGCACACGCAAAGGCCAGGAGAGGGAACTTAGGAGGAGTGGTTACTTAGGGGGTAGTTAGGTGTAGCTGGAGCTGTGGCGGGAGAGATGACGGTGACCGGGAGTGAGTGAGTAGGTAAGCCTGCTTGGGAGGAGGCAGGGGCCAGACCATACTGGGCCTTGTAGGCCTTGTTAGGTGGCTTGGTCCTTTATATCCTGGTAGCAGTGGGAAGCTAGTGAAGGTTTTAAGCAGGCTTGTAACAGGATGAGCTTTTTTCTAAGATGATATGTAAGTTTTCAATTCGTATTTTATATCTTTAATATTTCATCATTTCTCCATATATTCCCCAGTATTTTCCTCAACTTCTAATTTTGAAAAATGTCAAACCTGCAGAAAAACTGAATCCAAAACAACATCTACCTTTCACTATTTTTACATTTATGTATATTACATACTTATATATTCAAGTACTTTGTATATACCTATATACTTTAAAAATACACTTATATACTTTTTTTTTTGGTCAAACCATCTGAAAATAAGTTGCAGATAGCAGAGACATTTCACCATCAATTCTTAAGAGCAAGGATATTCTCCTATATAACCACAATATCCTTCTCTCACTCAAGAAATTGAACATAATGACATTTTCCCCTAGCCTTTAAAAAAATTTTAAAACTTTCAGAAAAGTTGCAAGATTAGTAAACTTAGCACCCTATTTACCCTTTATCTAGATTCACTGACAATATTTTACCAGACTGGCTTTGTCTCTCTTTGACTTTTTATGTATATAACAATAATAAAATAATTGTTATTTTTGCTGAATCATTTGGGAGTTAGTTGCAAAAATCTTTACATTGTACCACTATTGACTTCAACATATATCTTCTGAAAACAAGGACATTTTCTTACATACCCACAATACCATTACCACACCCAAGACATTAAACATTCATATATTATCTCATATACAGTTGATAACTCGAATTTCCCCAGTTGTCTCATTAGTGTCCTTTATAGCTTTTTATTTTTGGAAAGCCAGTCAAGGATCACGCATTGCATTAAGCTGTCTTTAAATCTGTAGTTTGCAAAGATGGCTGGCTGCAGTGTGAATTGTCAGGGAGGTATGAGTGAAAGCAGGGAGGCCGGATGGGAGGTTACTTGTAGCAGGCTCCGTGAGAGATGATGATGACTTGGGACCCAGGTGGTGGCAGTGGAGGTGAAGGTGGAGAGAAATGGTGGCTACAAGGTATGTATTAGGAGGGTAAAATCCACAGGATGTGGTGATAGGTTAGTTATGGGTGGGGAAGTGTCAAGGATGACTATCAGGTTTGTACATCTGGGAGGATGGCATTTGTTCTGTAAGATATGGAATACTGGAAGAAGACCGGGTTTGAAGGGTGGTGAAGGGGAAGATTAGGTGCCCCATTCAGTTTGGGGCTCGAGTCTGAAGTGTCTTTACAGTATCTTAGAAGAGATATCGAGTTGGATATATGGTTCTATGTGCGTGTGTATTTTATTACTAACTTTTTCTTCTGAAATACTTTGAGTTATAGAAATCCTAAAAATAGTACAAATAATTCCTATATATCCCCGTGAGATAACAGAAATACATATTGGTCTCTGGCCCAGGTTCCCGGCATAGAACTCCTAAAAACCTTGTAAGATCCTAAGTTATAAGAACACTGGAAGCATCTCTTGTTCTGATATTGGTCTTTGACCCCAGTTGCTGACACAGTGCTCCCGCAACCCTTGCAATTTCATGGGTGATAGGAGTGTCTTTTGTTCTAATAAGGCAAGTCTGGGGGGGGCGGGGAGGCTCCTGCATGAGGGCTGGTCACCAGAAAGACCAAGCCATGATTAGAAGCTTGGAATTTCCAGTCCTGCCCCTGTTCTCTCGAGAAGGGTGAGGGGCTGAAAATGAAGTTAATGATCCATCATGCCTATGTGATGAAGTTTCCGTAAGATCCCAGAAGTATGGAGTTTGGGGAGCTTCTGGTTGGCAAGCATGTGGAGGTACTAGGAGAGTGGCGTGCTGGAGAGGCCCCTCCCACATACCTCACCCTTGCTCTTCCATCTGGGTGTTCATCTGTATCCTCTGTCATATCCTTTTATAATAAACTGGTAAACATTTAAGTAAAATGTTTCCTTGAGATCTGTGAGCAGCTCTAGCAAATTAATAGAACCCAAAGGAGGGGGTCATTGGAACCCTAATTTATAGTCAGTTGGTCAGGAGCACTGGTGACAACCAACCTGGGCTTGCAGCTGGTGTCTGAAGTATGTGTGTGTGTGGGTGGGTGGGTGGGTGGGTGGCAGTCTTGTGGGACAGAGCCCTGTGACCTGTGGGATGTGATGCTGTCTCTGGGTAGATGGTGTCAGAACTGAATTAAATTGTAGGCCACCCAGCTGGTGTTGCAGAAAACTATTTGGTGTGGGGGGAAAACCACACATTTGGAAGTGAAGTGTTTTATGTGACTAGTAAAAGAGACTCATAGGGAAGAAACCCACAGGAGACAGACTGAACTGAGGTATTCCCCGACACAGGTGAAAAATTGAGTTTTTCCAATACGTAAGCCCTCATCCTGATACGCAGATTATCCAGATGTTAACATTTCATCATGTTTGCTTTATTTCTATGTCTCTATCTACACATAACTTTTTTCTGACCCCTCTGAGAATAAGTTTCAGAGATAAAGCCCCATTTACCTCTAAGCAGCTGTAGTGGTTAATTTGATTGGGCTATTGGGTGCACCCAGATATTTGGTCAAACATTATTCTGTTTTTTTTTTTTTTTTTTTTTGTAAGGGTGTTTTGGGATGAGATTAACATTTAAATTGGCAAAGTAGATTGCCTTTCTTGATGTGGGTGGGCCTCATCAGTCAGTCAAAGGCCTGAATAGAACAAAAAGGCTGGTCCTCCTCAAGAAAGAGAGTTCTTTCCTGCCTGTGTGCCTTTGACCTGGGACATTAGCTTTTTCCCTGCCTTTGGACTCAGACTGAAACACCGACTCACCAACTCTTCCTGGGTCCCCACCTGCTGGCCCTCGGACTGGAACGGTAGCATTGGTTCTCTTTGTTTGCAGGTCTTCATCAGCTTTCCCGGTTTCCACCTTGCTGACTCACCTGGCAGATCTTGGGACTTGTCAGCCTCCACAATCATGTGAGCCAATTCCTTATAATAGATCCTTCTCTCACTCTCCCTGTATATCCTATGAGTCTTTCTTTGGAGAACTCCTTTTTTTTTTTTTTTTTTTAAGTGGGGGAGAGAGGGAGAGAGAATCTTAAGCAGGCTCCATGCCCAGTGCAGAGCCTGTTGCGGGGCTCAGTCTCACAACCCTGAGATCATGACCTGAGCTGAAATCAAGATTCAGACACTTAACCAACTGAGCCACCCAGGCAACAGACCCTCTCTGAAGAACTCTTATATTTACTAATGTCTATTTAGTTTCAAAAAAAAAAAAGACATTTCTCAAATAACCACAATTGTCAAACTCTGGAAATTGACATTGATACAGTACTATTATCTAATATACAGTTCTTACTCAAAATTTGTTAATTTCCCCACTGGCGTCTCTTTTGTATAAAATGAAAAAAAAATGTTCTGGTTCAGAACATTTGTGTTATTCAAGTTGTTATGTCTCTTTGGCCTCTGCTTTTTCTTTTTTTAAGATTTTATTTATTTATCTGAGAGAGAGAAAGAGAGAATGAAACAGAATGGGAGGGGGGAGCGATAGAAGAAGCAGACTCCCCACTGAGCAGGGAGCCCAACGTGGAACTCGATCCCAGGACTGTGAGATCATGACCTGAGACAAAGGCAGGTGCTTAACAACTGAGCCCCCCAGGTGCCCTCTTTGGTCTCTGTTAATCAGGAATAGTTCCTTAGTCTTTGTCTCTTACAACTTTGACCATTTATTTTGTAATGTCCCTCAATTTGGGTTTTTCTAAGTATTTCTCCACGATTCAGAAATAGGATACGCATTTTTGGCAGGAATACTGCAGAAGTGATATTGAGTCCTTTTCAACGAACCATACAAGTGGGCATATAACTTGATATGTCTCATTGCTGGTGATAATTCTGGTCATTTAGTAAAGTGCTATCCTTCAGGTTTCACCATTGTAAAATTATTCTTTTTCCATTTGTAATTGAGGGTGATACTTTGAATCTATGTATTATCCTGTTTCTCATTAAGTTTTTGTCTACTAATTTTAGCATCTGAGAAGTGTATCTGAAGCAGGGGTTATTGAAGATGGAATGAGATTATCTTGGATAGGTGGGTGGGAAAGTGGGTAAGGGTGGTGGAATCACATTGGGAGAGAACATATGATGAGAAAGAATCCGATTTTCCAGAAGAATGTATTAGAGGAACAGGAAGCGTAGAAAAGCCGTTGGCAATAATCTCGTGAAAGATAATCTGAGTGAAGGCAGATGGCCTAGAGAGCAGTCAATAGATCAGAATGCTGCTAAAGAGATGGAATCTATAGGACTTATTTTTGGTCAGGGCTT